AGAGAGAGAGAGAGACCCTCGACCGAAACCCCTAAGAGGAAAGGTCAGAGGGGAATACCCCCATGGATGTGCGGAGACCTCATAAAAGGCCCAGGGACACTGGGACCAGAGACTTACAAAGAGGCGATAACCCACGTAATGTTAGCTATCTTGAAGGAAACTTATCCTGAAGATAAGCTGACAGAAGGAGGCCAGGACTCCATTCTGGAGGACTATAGGCGTTATGTAGAACTCCTTTGGGAGAACTACCACGCCTGAAATCATAGACTAGAGGGATGTGCATCTCGCGAAATATACGCACAATAAAGGATGTTGATCGGTCCGTTGACCAGTTGCAACCGACTTTTATCTCGTCCTTTAATCGGAATTGTCTGGCTAGGACCATTCGCGAACCAAGTAAAGCGCCTTGGTGGAGTAAACAGCTGAGTGAGCTTAGAACCAAAACGAGGCTGTTTAATACAGCAAAAGGAACAGGGCAGTGGGACACCTACAATAAAGTCCTTACCCGTTACAACAAAGAAATAAGGAAAGCCAAGAGATCCTCATGGAGGAGGCACTGCCAGGAAATAAATGATGTACCAGGCGGTGCCAGGCTCATGAGGATCATGGCAAAACAGGAGACCAATAAGGTCATCACGATTACGATACCTAACGGGCAGTATACTCAAACAGGAAAGGAAACACTGAACGAATTATTCAGGGTTCACTTTCCTGATTAAAAATTGATTGATAATTTGGACAATGGACGGGGTCAGCAAAACCTGGGCACTTGCCAAAGCAGGATGAACAGCGCCACTTTGTCCACCACAAATCCCACTTGACCAGACCCGGGATCGAACCAATAGAACCTCATTTGATATAATCAAACAGGCTGCTGGAAAGTATGGCGTAGAGCCTGCAATATGCAGGTGAATCAGTGCTATGCTGGAAAGCAGAACCATAGTTGCTACATTACCAGGAGAAACCCTGGGGGTGTCCGCAGGGGAGCGTGCTCTCGCCTCTGCTGTGGAGCCTTGATGATTGGTATTATACAGTAGGATATGCTGATGATACAGCAATCCTCATAAATTGAAAATTACTTTCGACAGTATCAGAGCGTCTTCAAACAGCTCTGTAGATGGCCCAACGATGGTGTGAAAGAACAAGTCTTTCTTCAATCATAATAAGACGGTAATTATACCGTTTACCAGGAAGAGAAATATAAAGGGCCTTATGGAACCGATCCTTTTCAATAAAATGATCCAGCTCTCCAGCAATGTCAAGTACCTTGGTCTAGTATTAGACAAGGGACTGACATGGAAAAAGCAACTGAACAAGGTCATCAATAAAGCCTATAAGGCTTTTTGGACATGCAGAAGCACGTTTGGTAAAACTTGGGGACTGCAGCCGCACGTTGTGCATTGGATATACCCTGTGGTTGTATGACCCATAATTACATACAGAACCACAGTATGGTGGCCCAGAGTTAAACTCAAGACAAGCAAGGCAGAACTTAGCAAATTGCAAAGGTTGGCTTGCTTGGGTATCACAGGAGCAATTCGAACATCTCCAACAGCTGCACTGAATATACTCCTTGCACTCCCCCCACTACATCTACAGCTGGAGGCAGAGGCCATGGCAGGAATCTACCATCTCCAATGAGTGATCAATGTAAACCTAGATCCGATAGTTTTGGACATGCATACATAACTCAGGACATGCAAAAAGAACCCATATTATGAATGGGGTCTGACAAAATGATACTGAGACATGTATATGAAAAACCATTCAGTCAGATTTCCTGACAGTAGTGAATGGGAAGACTGGTTTTGGCTCAATAGAAAAGGGGGACTGATCTGGTATACAGAAGGTTCCAAGATAAATAAGGGCACTGCAGCTGGTGTGTACTGCTATGGCACGAGGCGGAAACTTAGTTTCAGCCTTCGGAAATACACAACAGTATTCCAGGCAGAAGTATATGCCATTAAAGCATGTATTATGGAGAATTTGGATAGGAACTATAGAAATAGGAACATCTACATTCTATCTGACAGCCAAGCTACACTTAAAGCACTTGACAAACACCAGATCAACTCAAAATTGGTCTGGGATTGCCACCAAACCCTCATGGAACTGGCCAAACATAACAGGGTACAACTGATATGGGTGCCGGTGCATGAGGGTATTGCTGGAAACGAAATGGCAGATCAATTGGCTAAGATTGGAGCTGCACATCCGTTCATAGGACCTGAACCAGCCTGTGGAATCTCTATAGGAGTTGCCAGAAAAGCAATCAGGGATTGGACACATATGAATCATAAGAAATACTGGGGATCCTTGACTGGACTCAGGCAAGCAAAGGGACTCATACAAGGACCCTCTGCTAAAAGAGTGAAGGAACTGTTGAAGTTAAACAGGAACCAGCTACAATGGGTTGTGGGACTACTTACAGGACACTGTCACCTTAAAGGACACCTCTTCAAACTGGGACTAAGTGATAATCCCACTTGTGTGAGGTGTCAAGAAGAAAATGAAACAGCCACACATATCCTGTGTGAATGTGAGGTCTTAGCTTATTTAAGATTATGTCACTTGGATCAATACTTTATGGAACCAAGTGACTATTTTGAGGCCCCCACGTACAAAGTCCTGCGCTTCATTTGAAGCACAGGATTGCTGTGGGGATAATCAAAATGGGAAGCACAAGATCACTGTAGGTCGTGGTGCAAGGGCTGAGAGGGCCCACCCCTTGTACATCATTCATTCATTCATAGTTTCATAGAATGCTGGGATTTCCTTGAGTAGTTGAGAAACTATTAGCTTCTTTCAAAGGATTCAGCTCCACAAAGTTAGCTACTTCATCCTTACAGTGTATTACAGTATATGAAACACAGCAGCATACATGTAACGTTACATTCTACTGTGTTCAGAGTCAGACAAAACACCAAAATGGAATTGTAAACACAGAGTCTGTGAAGAAAAACACTGCAAAAACAAATTCCATATTTTATTCATAATGTTTACATCCATATATGCATGTGCTGAAAAACTGTATAAAAATATCTCCAACACTGAGAAACACTTTAACATGTACCAGCATTTGCTCAGAATTGTCTGGCCCCACTTCTCTGCTGCATCAATACAAGTGCCTCCTTATAAAATAATGCAGATATAGAGAACAGATTTATTTAAAATTAAAGACTTTGCATATACTAAATGTAACTTACTGAGAGGAATATTCATATTTTCCATAACAGCCAGTCATTGTTTTGATTGAAGGAAGCCTCAATCTTAATTCAGACTCAGAATGTAATTTTTGAACAAGATTTTTTTATTGATCAAACACAGAAATGAATATTGCAAAATGTATCTCTATCAATTACATTTGTACTGTACATTTTCTTTTGTAGCTTGTCCTCTCATACTTTCTGCATATATTCCAATAATTCTGTTCTATATTCATTGACTTTCTCATAAAAGTTGTATATACATATGTTCCATCAGCCGAGTCCAAAACGGCTTTAAGGGTGTCATCATGACGTAGTGCCACAGATTATTATGTCACCATTAGAAAGTCATTAGATTCTATTTAACCTTTGATGTGAACCAAAATCGCCATACCAGAGATCTTGCTGAACACACAGGGACTCTTCTTCCATAATGTTGGCTACACGAGGCATGACACACCCTCAAAATGTTATAGACAGACAACACATTATTCCCAGTGCTGAGCTCAAGTATCTCATACCATTATTCCTTTGCTGTCACTGTCCATTCTTCACTGCCATCCAGACATCCTGAAGTTATTCTGATTAGCAAATTATGATTGCAAAACATATAGGCTAATGCACAAAACATGTTAAATTAATCTAATATAAAAATGTTTACAACAAGAGTGTCTGCATATGTAAAATATCTTATGTCACTAAGAAAAACAATAAAACTATATATTAGTGTGTGAGAAAAAGGCAATAAAATTTTACAAAACTATAATCCAACTCAGGTGTAATTATAGCCCTTTCTTTCACATGGGATACAGTCAATATCTGATAACTAGGAACAATGGTAGAAAAAGAAATCGTGAAAAATATGAGAAACATATTATGTAGACACAATGGAAAAACTTTTATTATCACTTTCTCCGATTTTAATTTCTCCTTTTTGCCTGTTCATGCTGACTGACATTATCAGCTGGATAACATTAATGACAAATGTATATACTGGCATATAAAAATGACCTTTTAAGTTTTACAGAGTCTTCCAAAACTAGAGGTCATCTTATAAATGAAGCATACAAGAACCTTAGATCTTTTAAATACTGTTTCACATTTAACAAACCCCTTGACAATTATTTATAAATGAAACTCAAAAATCGTATACATAATTAACTTGGACTTCATGTTAAAATGTGTGGTGGGACAACATGACAACAGTCACCATAACTGCAAAGTTGGCATAATGAATTCTACTCCACACACCATATACTGCATTAGTGTAGTGTAAGCAAACATCTGAGCAAAGCAGAAATCCAGAAAATTGCCAGTGTCTGCAGTAATAGCATAAATTATGTTCTGTGATTGGCCAGTTGATGTTAGCCAAGGCGATTTATTTTACAGTTGTCTTATGCACCATTCATTCTGTATGCCAATATACTATACAGTATTTCATTACAGCCCTTGCCAAGTAAGCTATGAAGTTGTATATCACAATATTGTAATGCACCTAAAACATAGAGCTGAAATGCTTCTTATAAACACTGTCAAGTAAGTAAAATAAAGCCATCCCTGCAAGAGGCCATGAAGGCCCATAGGGTTGTGAGACGTTGAGGGTCCCACATTATCTAGACAATTGACTCAAAGATGACGGTAAGGTTGTCAGCCTTACACGCCGGCCGCGCTTTACTACCCAGGAAAATTATTTAATTCCTGGTACTCATTTCTGTTAGAGGCTGAGTCGACCCCAGGGCCATAGTGCAGCTGGAAGGAGTAGGTCAATTGGAAAAAAAATCAGTGACCTCATCGGGACTTGAACCGGCGACCTTCCAGCTTGTAGCATAGCCCCTCAACCAACTACACTGTCTCTTTTATATAAATTTTTGTGGCAGATCAAGGACTTGTCTTAGCTGGCACACTGTAACCAACTCTCTTCTTCTGAGTATAATCCCTCCAGATATGAGGATGGACCCCTTTATTATTAATATTCTGAAGTCTGCCAATCATAGGGAGGCATGTGGTCTCAGCCATATACTGTTTTCTGCTACCTGAACAGAGAGATTGTGGATCTGAATCCCAGTCCAGGCATGGAGATATGTCTGTCTGTGTTTTCTTTTCTTGTGTGTGTCCATGCTGTCCTGTCTAGGTAGAACCCTTGCAATGGACAGATCTCCCATCCAGGGTGTCCTCCCAAAGGTCTATAAACAAGATTCTGAAACCCAAAAATAGGAAGTACTGGACCACAATGGTCTAGTGCCACACAAAAAGAAATGCTGAACTGATATGTAAATGATGGGCACTACAGATATAATGACAACTACAAAGTTAAGACATTAAAGCTCCAGTTGAACGTTCCTTCATATAGGGATTTCTGGCACTGTCAGTAATCTCAACATTAAATTTCATCCTTTTTTAAGATTTTTCTCAATTCAGTGTTAAAGTCCAGTGCTCCCAAAGAAACCTTAAGTGGGGGGGAGGGGTCAAGTGCAAATGATGTCATTGATTTTTAGTTTATTTAACAATTATACTAGGAACTCAAAACTATATAGCATCAAATGACTGAATGATAGTGGATAATAAGTTAGAAAGGATGTGCAGAGAATTGACCATGCCCTAATTCAGACACTACCCCAGCACCTAACTGGACAGATTGAAGAAAACCACAGGAAGCCTCAGTCAGGACTGTCCAGGCAGCACCCAACTAAGATTCAACATGGCATCTTCAGGACATGTCAAAAACATTACTGCTTCAGCCAGTATGTGTGGCGATATCTTGTCACTCCAAATAATGGTTTGGTGCAATGAGTACTGCTTCATCCCTCCCACTCTTAAGCTGAGCTTGCAACAGTATCTTGTGTGGGTGCCAGATGAACACAAAATCAGGTGTTGACTGTATCCCAATCAAGCTTACAAGCTACTGCATTTCAAAGAATACTGTAATATACACCTGACCCAATGTCCAATTCCTAAGTACAGTCATTTTTAAGTCAAAACAACAGTTAGTGAGCCTCATTCTGCCACTGAGTAAGCAACTTGCTGTACCAAGTAGCCTTGAAATGCTTCCCCCAGCATGCTAGTCAATGAGCATCAGTTCGTTGTTCATATATTGACAGTGCATTCACTATTCTGCCACTAAAAATTGTAATTGTCTCTCATGGGAATGAGCTCTTTTGCTGTTTGTATGTACAGATGTACAAAAATTGAGAGTTCATATGTTGAGATCAAATGTATTCATAATGCTTTTGTGTTAAAAGAGAACTGTGAACAGTATATTAATATTACAGATATAAAGTCAGAGGTTAGCTGTACATTTTTTGTGTCAAGCAACCCTCCCCAAAATTACATAACCAAAAAAAGCTTAATATCAATTGTATTCTGTGAAATCACTATAGTGTATTTAATTATATTTGTATTTTGGAATATAAAATCTGTGCTTAAAATATGGGATGCTTCTGAATAGACATCTGCACGTTTAATGGGCAATGTGGTGTGTGAACAAATCACATCTGTTGCACCTACAGGGAATGAATTCTATAAAAATTCTCTGCATAACAGAATTCTATTAACAGTATAAAAAAGGTCATAAACTAAAATGCAATACAAATCTCATTAAGGTTAATGGGCAGTCTTTATCAATTTGTTAACATTTACATTCCATAAGAAATGCTGTTTTGTTTACATTGTCTGCATGTGAAATAAAATAACTTCAAATCCTGAGAGTAAAATAAAATCACTTATACAGAGGAAAGTAATTATTTAAAATTTAAAAAGTCACATCTTTAAAAAGCTTATTCTTCTTTCTGTTTGTGCTGGTTGAGCTAACCGCTCAATATAAAATTCTGAGACTCAGTTTTCAGTGGACATATGGGGCAACACTTGCTGCACTGTCTTCATATTCATGGACTGTATGGGCTAGTCTTCTGGACAGACAGAATTAAGTCACAGCTGTGGAACTGCTACAATTTAAGCAGTCGCTTAACCAAAAACACAACTGCTACTCCAAAGCTAATCACCATCATACTGGACCGTGCTGTACTACCACTTAGCTGTAACAAGTTAGAATGCTGAGAATTAAAAACAAGACAGACTAGTATAACACAGGAGAAAATAAACAACCTAACACCTAAAGAAAACAATAAATAATTCAAAGATAAAGGCTGGTATGAGGAGCTTGTACTCTTCGCCAAGTATAATTAGAATCATCAAGTCAAGGAGGATGAGATGGGCAGGGCATGTAGCACGAATGGGGAGAAGAGGAATGCACATAGGATATTGGCGGGAAAGCCAGGAAAAAAGAACCACTAGGGAGACCAAGACGTAGATGGGTGGACAATATTAAAATGGACTGGACCAATCTGGCTCAGGATAGGGACCAGTGGAGGGCTCTTGTGAGCATGGTAATGAACTTCAGGTTCCATAAAATGTTGGGAAATTCTTGAGTAGAGGCTTCTCAAGAAGGGGTCAGCTCCATGAGTGAGTGAAGTTTTGTACTATTAACTCCCCTTGCTTTCTCCCTTACACCTTCCAGTTCTACATGTTATCAAATAATGCATCAAGGCTGACATTTAATGCCATCTCCCACGATTAACATACACATAGTCGATCATAAATCATTTCCTTCATACTGTAAACAACACTTCACATATCCACATCAAAATATCAATACTCATTGAACAGACATGGTACAATGAATCAAAAGCCTGCTTGTTCATTTGTGACTTACTATGTAACTAATGTTCATGTAACATGTCTGTGTTAATGGCTGACAGCTTAAAATCTGAAACTGCAGGATGACAATGATAAATAAGATGCTTACAAAGTACACACACGTGCACACGTGCGCGCGCACACACACACACACACATTTGAGAGACAGACAGAGAGAGAAATTTGTAAGGGCAGAAAATCATGTTTCTTATTGCAGGAATGACAAGTGAAACTGAGTCCATTGGAACTGAAACCTCATAAAATGTTTCTAGTGTACCAGCCCCAGGTGACAGATGCATATGGAGCATTCGTTGGATGATGAGTGGTGTGAGTAAACTGAAGCACTAGGAGGAAACCTGCCCCAGTGCCACAGACTACCACAAATCCTGCAAAAATGAGCCTGGTACTAAACCCAGTCCTCAGGAAGCCCGTGACTGACCACCTAAGCTATGGCACAGAAACTTCATTTTTGTGAAGACGCATTGTGAAGGGAGGAGAGGTCGCAGAAAAGTGGGGATAGGCTTGGTGAACGTAGCAGTCGCAGAAGCTTCTGTCTAATACCCCTCAGTAGGAAACATGAGGTGGACGAGTGAGCAACGTGCGTTTGCTGTCGAAGTCTATTTTTCAAACAACCATTCCTATGTGGCGGTGCAGCATGCGTTCCGTACTCACTTTGGAATGAAGCCCAGAGGTCCGGTTCCTGATCAGAAATCGATTGTTCTGTGGGTAGAGAACTTTAGGACAACTGGGAGTGTGGTGAAAAAATCATCAGGATGACAAGGGACTGTTATGACGCCAGAAAATGTGGAGGCAGTTCAACAGTCGATTTTGATATCTTTTTCGAACCAGCTCTTTAAGAATGCATCTAGGAAACGTCTCGTTCCAACAGGATGGTGCCACAGCCCACACAGCCCGAGCTTCAACGACAGTTTTGAGGGCAAAGTTCCCCGGACGGCTCATCTCGCTTCGAGGTGACAACCCATGGGCAGCGCACTCACCTGATCTAACGTCCTGTAATCTTTTTTTTTATGGGGATACCTCAAGGCAGAGGTTTTTAAACATCTCCCCATAAACCTGCTTCAGCTGAAGAATGTTATTCGGCAGGAAGTAGCCCAAATTCCGGTGCACATGTTGGAACGTGCAGAAGGGAACTTCAGAAAACGGTTGCATCAGTGCATAGAGAACGGTGGCCATCACCTTCAAGACATTTTGTTTAAAACTACATGATTTAAAACTTTAAAGTATGTTCTTTCATTAGCTAAACATAAATTCTATCAGCAATAGTTTTTCTTTTATTTGCCTTCAAAAAAAGGAAGTTTCTGCACCCCACCCTGTATTGATTTGTTGACCTTAAACTAATGTAAAATCAATTTTAATATTTGGTATAAATTTTATGTGCATATTTTAGTGCATATTTTGGAAGTTTTTCATGCATAAATGCATACATATTTAAGGATTAGGGCATAAAAATCCGGTCCCTAGTTATAACCCACAACTTCAAACATGGCTACCAGACCTGCAAAACCAGGTGATCTAAAATCGCCTGTTTTTCAGTAATAAACTGTTTATCCTGGAAGGAGGATGAGTTTCTACAATTTTGAGGAGTGAGCTAATTCGAGTACATGGTGACACAGGTCCAGTGGCGTAGCATGACTACCGAAAGCAGGGAAGCAACTTTATATACATGTATATAAATTTTTTCTACATGCCCTATAGTTTCTATCTTCTATTTAAAAGGAAACAGCTAATAGTTTTAATATGTATTGTATATTTAAGCTAATATATTAAAATAACACATAATTATCAACACAATTTTATAGCCATCAAATGACAGGGTTGTGAACCTGGAATATAATTTAATGCTTACTTTATTGTTTATAATTCAGCTCGATTCCTCTGTTTTTCTTGGCAAACAGATCAATAACCTCATCTAGAAAGCTTGGTTTGGACTGCAGTTTGTTTAGGAAGGACTTTTCAATGTTCATCAAAGCCAGTGATGACAACCTATCCTGGTTCTGCGAATTTCTTAAGTAGTTTTTTAATCTCTTCAGAGCTGAAAATGAGCGTTCATCTGCAGCACTTGTCGCTGGTATTGTTAATACTAGCTCACATAATTTGAAGATTTGC